TTTGCAAAATTCCCTAAGTTTTTTCCTTTCAGCCCACCATGATTTTGCACAGAAGCATTCTCCAGAAGTTTGCACCATGCCGTATGCGACCCTTTTCTCCAGGCCAATCTTGCACAGAAGCATTCTCCAGAAGTTTGCACCGCGCCGTATCTGAAATCATAAAAGCCAAAGGTTCTTCTTTATAAAGCCCGGAATTTGAACATTGCGTTTTCTCCAGGCCAAAAGCATTTTGCACAGAAGCATTCACCACAATTTTGCGCAATGCTGTCTTCCTCATCTTCCTCGTCGGAAGATGAGACGCCTATCGAACTCATAGAAGCCAAGGGATCTTCCTCTGATGAAAGTGCCCCGCCAGCACGTTCGGGGGAACGTGGCATGGTGGGCATGTGGACGTGGCCGTGTCCCAGATGCTACGGGAAAACTTTCGATATGAGAGTTCAGCTGGGCACTCTAAAGCCAATCGATTGGGATAAGCAGACTTTGGCTGAGAAGTTTCGCTCGGCTCTGCAGAAGCGGGGGTTACTAGGTGACTTGCATCTGGATTGCAATTTAGTTTTGTTTTTTGCTCACAAGATTCTTCCAAGACATGCGATTGTCCAGTTTTTTCTTGTGGAAAGGTTTCTTGCAAAGCGCTGTTGCCAAGCTTGTGGAGCCGAGGCAGAAAATGATCATCGTATCCGAGCCCCACAAAAAGTGGGACGCTCAAACAGAGCGTAGAGAGCAACACTATCATGTGGTAGTCAAATTCCAGAGGCCGTTCGCTCACTACAAAGTGAACCAGGACATGTCTGCGCTGGGAGCAAAAGGTTTTTGGGCGTTCAATTTGTGTGGCCTTGCCGTGTATTTGCACTACATCCTCCGAGAAAGCGCAAAGAAGATAGGCGCAGACATCGATCCAGAACCATACTTCTGGCCAGAGAGTTTCACAGCATCACACGCGGCAGAGATCATGGACAGAGTTTCAAACAGTCAGCTGCATCGAAATGGAAACGAAGGTGTCAAAGCTGCTGTGCAAGCGTCGTCCAAGCGACCGGAAGAGTGCTCCAAGCGTCCGACCAAGCGTCGGAAGTCATTGTCCTTTTCGGAGTTTACGGACCTGGTCATAGAAGCTGGGGTGGAAACGGAACAGCAATTATTTCAGTTGGCCAAGGACCAAAAACTGAAAGGGCACGATCTTCTTTGGAATTTTGTCGGCCAAGCAATCCATCCAGAGCGGCTTCTGGCCAGGTGCCTGCGTGCTTGGAATTCGGAGAAGATGCCCCCAACACTTCTTCATACAACTTCTAAGTTCGGCGTGGCTGACTTCGAGATTCCTCCCGGTCTCCAGGAATGGCGTGACAAACACCGATTGGATCGCACACTGGTTCTCAGTGGGCCTGGGAACTGTGGCAAGACGGCTCTGTGCGCCGCCCTGCTGGCGGAACACGGTGCTTACTATTTTTTTGGACAAGCTGGATGTGGTCAAGCGATGTTTGTTTCAAAGCACGACATCTCTTTTGGTTGACGATGTATGCCTCCGATCTGCTTCGGTTGATGACGCCAAGTCCTGGCTGGACAACACCGTTTGCAGGTTTGCGTCCTGCCGACACGAGGATGGTATGTTGCCTCCGGGCATGCGGTGCTTCACGACCAATTGGGACAAGCGTGGGTTCCTGCCCGACGAAGCCCGGCGTGAGGAACACTTGGTGGCGATTGAGCGGAGGATGTGGTTTGTTGAGGTCGGTTCTGATCTTCGTAAGAACAGTGCTTCTTTGACCAGTTCCTCTTCGGCGGTGCTGCCACTGCCAGCTTCCGATGAGATGTTGCAGGCGCGGCCATGTGTGGAACATGTTACGATTTAATTCCATGGAATTTTGCAGCAGAAACTTGAAACTTGAAATCGGCCTTTCAATGGAATTAGTCCATCTGTCAGGAGCCGGAAGATGAGGATGTCTTTGGCCATATGAGCCACGTTTTTTTTGCAAATGATTAGGTTTATACAAAAAGGGAACTGTTGAGAAGTCGCGGAGGCTGTTCTGCTTGGGGCGTAGGCGTCGTGTAAGCATTTTGCGTAGGTGGGTGTTGAAAGATTTGCGTAGGCAGTCTTGCGTAGGCACCCTTTTCATGAAAGCCTGAATTTTCTTATTCAGACTTCTTCAAAAGTTGTTCAAGGGTCTTGGGGAAAGATAAACAGGAACCTGATGTGACCCAGTCGCATCGGGCCACTACTTGCGGATTATATAGCTCTTTTCGAGTCACCTGATGTGACTAAAGTTGGTGACAGTACCCTGCGTAGGCGTCCCGCGTAGGCATAGGCATTTGCTTGAGAGGGGAGCCCAGGCTTCCATTGAAAGGGCGGACGCAACTTTACGAATGTGTTTCTGTTTGTGGGTGTTAGCAAGCCAAACTGCTGTTCCTCCATGTTTTGACATGGTGTGTCGCTGTTCACGCACATAGTTATGCGCCTTACACCTGTTTTAGGCGCCTCTAAGATTTACAGTTTGGTGTGCAAACGTGACCGTCTCCAACTCAGTGTCCACATTGGTCATTTTTGTTCAGAACATCCTGCGTGCGACCGTTTGGTCGTCCTGGAGAAGGTGAGCCACATTGTCCTTTCACGTGGCTATCTTGCCCTCTGACTTTTTTGACATTTGGTCACATAAACCGCGAATCAAACATATAGAGTATGAACATGTTAGTGTGCAAATATATGACCAAATATCTTTTGCGAACCGCGCCATCCTGAATTTGGAGACCCGCACTGGAACTTGACCTCGAATTCAGTGACCGCAGCCCAACTCGACCGCGGTATTTGGCGAACTGCGGCATCCAGAACACAGAGACCCAGGTTCGAAGTTGACCATGTCAAACTCAGTGACCACAGTCGAACCGGACCATTCCGCAATCAGCGGCTCACACCTTGACAGTTTTTGCGGCTATTTGGCGTTCGATTTTTGTTGCCAGTGATACACTTCTTGATTTGTGGATGGTACACTCTTGCTTTGTGCAGCCGTGCGCTTCTCGATTTGTGCACAGGTACACTTCTCAATTTGTGCACAGGGACTCTTCTTGATTTGTGTTGGGTACAGTGCACAGGCACTCTTCGTGATTTGTGTTGGGTACACTCTTGATTTGTGCAGCGGTGCGCTTCTCTACAAGAATGCTACACCGCCCTGCCCATTCCCTTCCCCATTTCAATGTTGATGTGGGTGCCCACAGCGCAGCCGAGTAATTAGGTTAGGCCTCACAGCGAGAAGTGCATGCACGCCTGTCCACAGCTCTGTGTGTTCAAAACGGTTTCTTTGTGGGAACGCGCGCAGAGGCCGGACTGTAACGCCAAGCAATTGAAACGCGCGTGCCGTTTCCGTTTGTAATCAGGACATGCCTCCAAAGAGGAATCGCGTGGAGGCGGTCTAAGCTTTGTGTGGGGTGTCTTCTTGTTGCGCAAAATGTTGGTTCCTTGGTGAGGTCCTCGCGGAGGAGTTGAATGACTTGAAGCAACGACGGGCCGCGATGCGCGCGGCCAACCGTGCATTGGCAAAGCAGGAGAAGAATATGAAAAAACGACGTGCCCGCCTTGGACATCTTCGAAATTTGAATACAGTTGCTGCTGTTTCGCACTAGGCTGCCCGGCAACTCAGCCGTGACGACCTGTTACTCCTGGTGCACCAAGCGGGAGCAGGAGGCCAGGTGCCCGATGGACGGCCCAGCATTCACTCATGGGGCATTTGCGTCCGGAGGTGGTGGAGCTGCAGTGGTCGCAGCTGGTGGTGGAGATGGCGCGGAAAGTCTTCTGTGTGAAAAGATCCCCGGAATTGTGGCTGTTTATGCGCGTGTCACTCTCGGAGGTGGTGGAGCTGCGGTGGTAGCAGCTGGTGGTGGAGATGGCGCGGAAAGTCTTTTGCGTGAAAAGATCACCGGAATTGTGGCTGTTTATGCGCGTGTCACTTTCACAGGTCATGGTGCTCCCCCCTCCAAATCTGCCAGCTGGCGCTGCAGCTGGCGTTGCAGGGGA